GAGAATTGCAATATTGTGGATAGGCGGTATTTGTACTATTGTGATAGTCCTGCCTTACACTCATCATCTCTTCTCCAAGCCGGCTTAGCCTTTATTGATAAATCAAGCACTCGACGGATATATAGTAAAGTCATATTTTCAGAAATTGCCTTCTTTCAAAGGGCGAATATGAAGCGTGGGTGATTGTTACAGTGTGTAATTGGGGACTTTGATGTCCTATTCACGCGACTGCTGAAAACACTGACGACTGGTCAACCCAATTTGTGCTCATTGGCTAAGTGGCCCACACCCTTACCGTGTCTTCATCATCATCAGCCACGATCTATCCACTGTTTAACAAAGGCCTCTCCAAATCTCGACTTAAAGCTTTCGTGACTGTTTTTATTATATTTTTTTCTATCTACGTGACTTTACCGAAAGAACCAAAGAAAATGACCTCCCCAAATCAGCTATGTACAGGGTGGTCCAGATGTCTTGTGGCCGCCTATGAATTGACCCCTAACAGAAAAAAAATGTTTATTCATTCCTGTTTTCACACCAATTGGTATACAATTTGTATTTATTTTATTTTAGAGCATTAAATTGAGGTCACACGACATCCGGACCACGATGTACATGTATCGAAAATAATCCTAGATTTGAAGCTTTTGTGACTGCAAGGATTCATACTCTTAGGTTTTTTCGGTAATGTCACGTAGGGAAAAAAATAAGTAATAAAAATAATAGAAATAAAATGAAATATTTTATATTTTATAAAATATAAAATATTTTATTTCTATTATTATCTCTATTTTTTTTAGTTTTTTAAAATTATTTTCTCTTTTTTTATTTATTTTTACCTACGTGACTTTACCGCAAAAAAAAACCTAAGAGTATAGAAAATAAGTTAGGCAACCAGAGCTCTTAACTTCTGTGTACAGTCCATCTTTCCAGTGGTACGGTCATCAGATCCATCTCATGATCCTTTCCCCCCAACACATTTAAAAGTCGACGCACGAAGCAGTGCGACGTGGGAAAGGCAACAAAACTGTCGTGTGGTGTGATGTTCAAAGGCCTGCGTGAGACGCTCACCCTACCACTGCGGCCTTAGAGGCATGGGGCGTCAATCTCTACTGGGTGGCGAGTTCAATCAGCAGGACGCAACGATAAGGATACAGCTTTGCAACCGCTTGCTCACACCGCGGCTGCCACTCCAGGGAGCCAAGTCCGTGGGCCCTTGGCCTCCTCTTCCATGCCGGCCACGCAATCTAAGGACACGCGAGACTACTCACACTTTACCCCACCACATGCGATTTCTAAATCGACTAATTTGCGGTGTACCCATTCATACAGCCACACCGGGAGATCAAACTGGAAACGTCTGGATTGCAAGTCCGGTGTGCTAACCATTACACTTGCATCCCAAGATAAGCACGGTAACTTTCCATTTTCACTGCTTGTGAGATGGCAATCTGAATAGGGAAGTTCCCAGACTCATCTAACAGGTTCTTTCTATCCAACACATGGCCGAATTGGTACCCCATTCTTTATTTTTTTAAACCTGCCACATGCTGGTACTTGTCAGGTCACTGCAGAGCCGAGAAATTACATAATTAATCGAGCCGTAACCTGCTGTGTCATGCATACTTCCCTTTTTTTGTGCGTAGCTGCTGTGCAATACGCGTACGGACTGGGGTACTGTATTTGCAAAAGGAATTTTTTTCTGAGATGTTGCAGTTGCATTTAATGCAGTTCTCGTGTTTGGAGGGATCTCCTGTTGTGGCAGTTGAAAAAAAAAATGAACACGCTTCTTCAATGCCTCTGTCCACCACGACGTATAAATGGGTTCACCACAATTAGTCGATGGGCAGTGCCAACGCGGGCTGGTAATGTGTGGACACTCTGAACTAAACTAAACAATGGGCTTGTTTTTGTTTACCAGGTCAGGTCCACTGAGCTGCTATGTGTCTCTTTTTCAGAAGCGACCTGCCCATCACAAGTGGTAGCTCAGCGAAGTGGCTTTATCATTCGATTTAAAGCTTTCGTGACTGCAGGGATTCATCTTCTTGGTTATTTCGGTAAAGTCACGTAGAATGGAAATAATAAAATAATAAAAATGAAACTTAATAAAATAATTCTCACGACGGCTGCTTGCGTTGTGGCCGAAACGTCGTGAGAATTATTTTATTATGTTTTATTTTTATTATTTTATTTTTTCCATTCTACGTGACTTTACCGAAAGAACCAAGAAGATGGCTTTATCATGTTGACACAATGTATAGCGGACAAATACTCTAAACGCATGGTTCTAAATGTGGCCTACTCGTTGAAGAGTAGACCAAATACCCTCTGTGGGAAGGCCCTTCCACCAAGTGTGGAGAGAAACACAAATGGCAGGGCTGAACTTTAAACACTTTACCTTAGTGTTCGTAAATATCCTATGCATATCGAGATGCTGCAATATGCATGTTTATGATTCGATGCAAAACCTCTGCATATTGAGCGAGATTCAAGGCTAGGGGTACGTTTTTTTTTACCACAAGATGGGTGAGGAATAATACAAGTTGTAGTTTTTGTGATCGAATAAAAAAACCCGACTGAAGTGTCAGGTCAGGTCCAATGTGTTCTTAGTCTATGGTTGTAAATATGAATATATATTTTTTGTATCAAAATGACAATGGGGTATCATGTACAGAAGTTGTGAATTTGTGGCATCATTATTGCCAATGCACGATCGTGAATTACCACTTGAAGTATTTCCACCCGATTAATCCAAACCGTGTCGCGTAGTCTGTCCTGCCAACCCACAACCGTCCAGTGAAGTGCTTACTCACTACCTTGAGTATTTAAGCATCGACTTTAAAATGCGTACACTCTGCTTCACTTAGAATCGTCCTCAGCCTTACTCTTGACAAGCCTCGTGTGCATAGATAAGGGAGCATATTCTCAGGTTTGTTCGGTAAAGTCACGTAGGTAAAAAATTTAAATTAATAAAAGTAAAATAAAACAAAATAAAAAATCACGACGTTTCGGAAGCAACACAAGCCTCCGTCTTCAGGTGGAACCGTCACAGCCACGACAGCTGTATCAAGTAAAAAAAAAAGCTTCAAATCTAGAATGAGATAAAGGAGCAGTTCTGCAGTTAACTTACTCATGTCACTGCTAATTGGATATCCGATTAGCACATTTGGCTACGTACGGTGTGAAAGAAGTTCAACATACATACTGCTGGTAATATGATTTTCTATGGCCTTCCCATTTTCGCTGGCCAAATACATCTTGGAGGAGGCGGGAGTGCCCACACTTTACCTCACCACATGTAACCAGCTGATTGACCAAATGTGGGGGACCCATTTACACTGCTGGATGAACAGCGGCTGGGAGGGATTTAGGATGTGTTCACTATTTCAACTTCCGTGCCCGGAGTTTGAACCCGATGGCTGCTGGACTACAAGTAAAGTGTGCTAACCATTACACCACGCTTATGAACGCCTTATATGTATAGCTTTATGAGAGTGTTTTGGAATGTGATTAACTCGCCTTTGGAGCTAAAATAATTTTTCAACTTTACAGTTTGGACAGGGAAGCAAGTCATTTGTTGTTGTTCTCGTTTGGCTGAACCGCGACACAGAATGATTATTCACTCAGTTTCCACTGCCCGTGCGAGACTTGAAAAAGTTTTTATTGGGGTACAATGTACATCTTGCTCTGCTGTGGCGTCTGGAACGCTCTTCCTTCCGATATTAGGAAGCCACTGGAGCTGGGCGCTTTTAAATCTTCATCTAGATTGACAACTCATTTCTTTAGAACTGCTTTTTGTGTTCAGTTTGTTAATCTTCTCCTGCTCCTCCGATTATCTCTGTTGGCTGCATACAGTGCGAAAGAAGTTCAACATACATACATTCCTTTGGGAGATACATTTCTAGACATAGACTACTGCGCATGAAATGATTTAGCAACTATGATGCAAAATAAAAAAAAATCCAATTATGAAATCACTGTTCTATCCTGATTTTCAGGAACAATACTAACACTGGCAGTTTGCAATTGCCCCAAGTGTTTAGCCTACTGTATGAATAATTCACAACCCTCTGTTAATCAATTGCTGGTTGAAGGCCTCCACCGCACATTGTCGATCATGGTGAGTTTGTTTGACCTTTGTTAGACATGCTGGTCGGTGTGGAATGAGGTGTGTCCGGGAACCAGTTCAGATGCCACTGATGGTGTCCGGGAACTTCATAGTACAGGGTGGTCGCGATGTCTTGTGACCCCCGTTCAATCCTCTAAAACGTAATGTTGTATACCAATGGGTGTGAAAACTGAAATTAATAAGCAAAGGGAAAAAAAGGTCAGGGGTCAATTAATGGGGGTCACAATACATCTGGACCAACCTGTACCAGTGCGCTAATCAATGCAGCACTATTGCGCCTCATTCAGATTATGCTGGAGTAAAACATTGTTAGAAAAACAATCCCAACATTAATGGATGTATGGTGCTGATTTGGCGTATACGTTTGATATAATTCATAAAAAAATATAATGCGCCTTTGAATGTGAAACTCTTATTAAAAGAAAAAAAAATGTCAAGCAACGCACTTTATTAATATCGATCAAACGAGTGTCTGAATTTGAGCATCTAAAGTTTAGAATGTATAGCCATTTGCAAATTTAAGAAAAAAAAGTCAACCTAATACATCACTCTTCATTTTCTGGTGCAAGGGAACGTTTTGCGGAAGTGGTCAAAGTATTCAGAAGAAGAAAAAAAAAACCCGCTCAGAAATAAAGGAGCGAGAACAGGAAAAAGGAACCACAACACAAAACACGTATCTTGCAAAGCACGAAGCCACGGCAACATCCTCCTCCCTGTGAGAGAATAGGGAGGCAGCAGCAGCAGCAGCGCCGTGTTAACACGCACGGACCTCGTACGCATCGAGGAGGAGGAGGAGGGGTGGGGGTGGCCAGCGATCCAGCCAGCTCATGATTACGCCAGAAGGGTGCATTTCCGCACGCACGCACGCCTGCCAAACGTGTCAGCGGAGAGGGCTCTCGGAGGGCAGCTGTATTCTGCCCGTGTTCTCCGAGTGACAATTCCCTTCGCCCCCGGGCTCGAACCCAGCCACCACTGCCGGCACTGCCCCTGCTGCCGTGGGCATGAAGGATATCGCTTTGACGCTGAAAAGGTGAGTCCAACGAAACGCCTTTGAAATGCTGAGGTTTTTTTTATATTATTCGATAATTGTCCTGTCGTTTGTCTCTTTAAGTTTGGCTGCATCAACAACGGGGGGCTTTAATTGTATTAGTTTTGTTTAATATGTTTATTATTTTATTATTTCCCTTCTACGTGACTTTACCGAAAGAACCAAGAACATGAACGGGGGGCTTCGCTAAGACGTTTGGTGAATGTTGAGTGAGTGGCACCGCCGATGACAAAGCACTCGACAACGGCCGTGCGGCGAATGAAAGCCTTTGATTGTGATTCTCGCAAAGACGCGCAATCAGTTGAGCTTGATCTTTCGAACGGCGCTGTGGTCCAATATTAGAAAGTTTACCCGGGTTACTGCTCAACATCGATGTTTTCCCTCAGGATCGCGAGGACGTAGGCGACACCGAAGCTTACACAATTGTGGTTTGTAATTGCTTCTTGATACTGTAATCTTGATTTGAATCTTGATTTGAAGCTTTCGTGACTGCAGGAATCCATACTCTGTGGTTCTTTCGGTGCTGGGATGATGACAATGGAAAGTGTGTACTATACACACAATGCATCTTCAAATTACAGTGGTTTCGTCTATTATTATGAGATGACATGACAAAACGACAAGCTGCAGGGCAAAAATTAGCGTGCGAATGTTTTGCTCTGGTAAATCGTGGGTTCAATTTTACTGGCACATAAATGTCGTCCACTGCCGTGCTTTACGTTCCTCTTTTAAAGACGTCAGCATTTGATCATTTTTACCGATGTTATTGTAACGCAATGCAATGCCGTTGTGAGTTCAGGCAGTATCACCGTGCCACTTGATTTGTTTTCTCTCTAAAAAGAGTCAAGGTCTGTATCTGCCCGTACAGCCCTTTGTCAATCCACTGCTGGATGAGGGCCTCCCCACAACCCATGTGGATCATTATATATATATTTTTTATCATACTTCACCACGCCGGTCAGTGTGTGTTGGTGAAGGCCGAGAGCATAGTCATTGGAGCTCGGTAGAGTACAACAATGCATTTTGTTGCACTCCGCTCACAATGGTAGCACCGCAGCAGCCTATAGCACCTGATTCATCTATGGCGGTCCTCCATCCGAGTGGTCTGCGTGCTCTTTTTCTGAGATGTGATGAGATTGGAAACATTCCGAATGATTAACTCATCGGCATATATTAACAACAACAACAAACCCTCAACATTCAACGATAACATTGTGGCATTAAAATCAAAACACGTTCCTTCGGAGTGGGCAGGTAAGGCACTTGGTTGGACAGCGCATTCGTGCACGACAGAAAGTTCGCGGTCACGTGACGCACTTCAACCAATCCGGGAGCGTACTACATGTGTGGGAGGGGCTATGCACGACAGACAACTAATCCCTGGTGGGCAGTGTGGAACTTGATGTTCCTACCTGTATAAGTATATTATAGGCGACGTTTTAGACAATGGCCCTTCTTCATGTGCGATGAAGAGCGAGCGTTGTGGTTTATTTTTCGTTGTAAGGCAGAGTTATCGACGTATGTGTTGGGGTTTGTTCATTGTGGTGGTGCACCACCGCCAATGCAGCACTATCACCACACAATGGGCATATACACGGCACAAAACCACTAGCCTGTACATAGTATCCATATGCAAACCGCATCTCAAACGGCTGTATTGTGTCACATACGTACACCACATTTAATATTGCAGTCACTACAATCTACTTTCAATCTAGGAACGATTTTTCCAAGCTTGCTAAAGCACTCGCACAATTGTATGGACGCGGTTGGCTTTCCATTGTGTGGTGCTGAGTGCATCGTAAACACGGGGTTTGTGTCATGCAAGCAAATGCTGCACAGTTCATACACCACCACGTGGGGATTTTAATATCAGAATGCAAATGCCGCATGCACCTCCTTCATACGTGTTGCAACATATGATTACAGTTCTTTAAATCAGCTCGTGTACAAGTGCGAGGTGGATTTTACATCACAGGATCACGGGAGATGGCAAATGCTTGGAGAAGCTTTTATTCAGCAGTGGATTGATCATGGCTGATGATGATGATCATGATGATGATGGATACGTAGCCTGTATAAGTTTTATGGGTTCCCAAGATACCGTTTACTCTACCGTATTTGGTAGTTATGCTTATAAAGTGGTCAGAGAGTAAAGTAACAACATGATAACAACAAGATGAGCTTTAATAATTATCCACACACTTGTGGATAAGAAATAGAGATGGGCAGGCAGGGAGTGTACGGTGAATTCGTTTATTTGTATCCTTCATAAGTTCGTGAGTGTCCAGTGGCACAAGAGGGATATTCCTTTTCAATGGTCAGCATAGTCACGTGTGACTACACAAAATAAACCTGAAATTTGGGTCTGAATTAAATCTGGTTAAATTCCAGTGCTGAGAATATGAAATATCTGCATGACCGTCACGCGAGGCGGGGTGGTTGGGAAAGTGTAGCCTCCTGATGTGTGGACAAGTGGCAACTTGAAGGGATCTCAGAAGTAGTTTTGCGGTATCTATTCCATGGGCTGTTATCTAATATGAGCCCTCTCTAGAAATGTGCTGCTAAGACATGGCTCTCTAGGCGGCTCGGCATTTGGCTGACCAGTAAGTTTTGTGTGAACGATTAAGTGCCAGCTGACGGTCACTTGAATGTATGTACATTGAACTTCTTTCGTGCCGTACATATGCAACCGTGGTGTGGGGGAAGGATAAACGAAACACAAAAAAAGTTCTAAAGAAATTAGCTTTGACTCTAGATGCAAAATCGAATAGCGCCGGTGGCTTCTTAATATCGGAAGGAAGAGCGTTCCAGACGGCCGAAGAAAGCGCTCGATGGGGTGACCGTCATCGTTCGATTGCGAGCCGAAAGCCGCTGCGAGGATGACCGGAGTTCGTGTGATGAATTCAACACCACATTGGGTGACTCGAGTGAGCTGCCCACGAGCTGGAAGCCGTCGTGAAGAGGGGGCAGCAGCAGGGGGTGGCGGGCGGGTGGGTGGTGCCAAAGTGTTTGGCAGAACTCATCACAACGATCCGTTTAGCAGACGCTCTGCTGTGTGCTGGCTGAGACAGCTGTTGTGTACGGCCAAGTTGGCTGGAAATGCTGGGTGCTGTAATGGGGACGGCATGTCCCGGTAGTGTCAGGTCTACCGATATGAAGGTTACATGGTGGTGGTTGTTGGACGGAGGTTATTCCAATACACGCAGTGTTAGGAGTTCCAATTCAAATTGCAGCTTTTAGACGGGACTTATATGTGACGGCCAGTCTTCCTCTAGTCGCTGTTCAATGTTGTTGGCCCAAAACCTGTACGAATATCCAATTACATTATGGATTCACCGAAAAAAACAAAGAATACATTATGGATTGTATACAAATTTTAATAGCTGCAACATTGGAGAAGGCACATGCACAGACCTTGGTCATTTCACTTCACGATGAGGACCTCCCCACTCTGGGCAGGTTTCAATGGTTATGTGGCCATACTTCTCCATGCTAATCAGTGAAGGTTGATAATGCCAGAGGGCATGAATGTAGGAGTATGGTACGACAATAGACGTTTCGCCACTGCCCTATGCTGCCCACCGCATAGGCCCTTGGGTGAGCCATACATCAACAGTGCCCAAATATTACCACAACGCAGTGGCGCGTGGCACTAATGGCAAATGCAACAGGGGTGATGGGGGGGGGGGCAACCCCCTCCTCCCCACCCTGAGACCCATAACATTAATATTTATTGACCAAAAAAAATAGATTAAATGTATGGTTTTTTAAGCGTCTGTGTAAGGCCGTATTTAACATCTTGATGTTCCGGGACTGGCCCGCCCACTCTGCGTGGTATGTAATGTGGTCAAGCCGTGTTTGAGGCTGGAGTGATCACCGCCGGTCGATTTATGATCGTGCTCCAGGGTCCAAAAAAGGGGTCACCCAGAACCGGCCCTAGACCTTTGGGGGCCCTAAGCAAAATTTGGTTGGAGGCCCCTTTGATGTATGATTTTTTTTTCACCCACGAGCTAGCAGTGACTCTAGGGGGCCCTCTGCTGGCCACGGGGCCCTTTGCAATTGCAAGGGTCGCTAAGTGGCTGGGCCGGCTCTGGGGTCACCCAACGTGATGCCTCCGCGCCAGGCGGGTGGTGTGGACTACAAGGGAGATCTTCTTGGTTCTTTCGGTAAAGTCACGTAGGATTGAAATAATAAAATAATAAAAATAAAACATAATAAAATAATTCTCACGACGTTTTGGCCACAACGCAAGTAGCCGTCCTCAGGTGGAGAACAGGTCTGTCGAGGAGACAGTGACTTTACCGAAAGAACCAAGAAGATGAATCCCTGCAGTCACGAAAGCTTTAAATCGAAACACAAGGGAGATGTTTTCTCCTATCGAGCAAGCAGCTTTGAGCTCGTGCAGATCCCCCCCCCCCCCCCCCCCGAGGTAAAAAATTGAGCTCGACAGAGAGAAGTTGCTTTGCATCAAACCGGCCTCCCACAGCAGCATTATCTCCAATCAGAAGGAAAGTCGGTTTCATAATGACTACTGACAGACGCACCCCTTCCTTCTGCCACTCTCTTCCCGTTCTTAGAAGTTGGTGAAGTCAAAATGCGAGCCAGGACGCTGAAGGGCTCCATACAAATTGCAGCCTAGTGTCAGCAATTACAAAGACGCACCGTGGATTTAAAAACATCCCATGAGAGGACTCATTGGAAAACACTCTAATGGGGCCCTGTGTGTGCTCTCCATGTATTTGTGTGTAAAGGTGTGTTGCGAAGATGACACACGAGTATCAGTATAACTGTTTGTGTACATGTGCACGTGTGTGTAGTGGGGAGCGGTTAGCACGCTGTGCTATGAACCCGGCGACCCGGGTTCGATTTCTGCTCACGGCCAACACCAGTGACGATTATCTGGACCGGTACTGGGCCTCTCCTAGGTCCACTCAGCCTCAAAATAGTATATGGTGCGTCACTGGGGAGACAAAGGCGTG